TAGATTTTTCCCCCTCCCTCTTTCTTCTTGAGACCAATTTTGGAAATGCAGTATTGTGTTTGCTGAGGATTCTTTACAAGCAGCATTTTCAAAATGTCTAAATGCTTTGGTAGAGTTCCTATTGCTATTTCTATTCTTCAGCCTTTTGCCTGAAGCTTCTCATTTGGTGTTTCCTGAAAACTCAGCCTGGAAGTGTATTCCAGTAAGATTCTTTTATTTGAGACAAATATTACTGTTTCTATATCAAAAGAGGGGAACATTAAACTCTTCCATTTTTTTTTACCCATCTTGATGGTTCATGATACACTCATTAGATGGAATAGTTCACACATAAAAAGTGAAAACAAAACAAAACCAAAAGTAATGTAGAGAAGTCAGAACTTGTTCTTTTTTCCCCCCATGTGTTTAAATTCTGGGTTCATTCTCAGTGCTAACACTATTTTTCAATAGCTCACTTCTTTTTGTGCTGTTTCAGTGCTAGCTTTAAATTAATCTGTTGAAAGTCCTTTCATTCAGCTGGACCTGAAATGCCTCATCCAGTACAAAAATATGAATAAATAGCAGCCACATTCTTTATTGTTTGTACTTTCAGCAGATTATATAAATGTGTGCACAATTTCTACTGTTTAACAACTGTGGGTATCTAAAGATGTGAAATGGGAGAAAAGGGTCCACTTCACCATAATAATTTGTAAAAAAGCTAAATACTATACCCAGTGATTCTTAACTGGATCCTAAACAGAGACACAGTTTCCTTTTCAACTCATTTTATTAAACCAGCAGACTCCAGATAATCTTTGTTTATGGGGAAAATAGCATTAAATATTTAATTCAAAGAATGTGAAGCTGTATTTTTAAATATCAATTCAAACATCATTTTATAAAACATAAGTTATTAAAATGCCCCTTAGCTATTTAGAAATTATTTTTTATTTCCTCACTCACTGCCTCAGTTTTATTTATGTCCAGGTCGACCTGTTGCAGTATTGGCATCATCAGTGTCCAGTAACTATCCATCTTTGGGTATTTAGTTACATCTGGGTGTTAATTTCACGACCTCCTTCAAGCCGTTTTGTATTTGGATCAGGCATTAGTGATAGAGACAAGTGTGGCCTTCTTGGAACTTTCTGTTATTAACCCCTTACTGTATTAGGGTCGTCGGAGGAGTGTGGGTCAATGAATGAGGAAGTGAAGGGGGCGGTTTTTCACGCATCTGGTGAAAAATAATTCCAGCATCGTCTGGAGGTAGAGAGGACTCTGCTGGAAATCTGACATGAGTGAGGAAGCTCGTTCGCCCAGTCGAGTGAGTTTTCTTCCGAATATATCACTGGTTCATTACGTCCTCACTGCCCCTTGACTTGGTGGATCAGAAGCCCCACTGCTCCCTTCTTTCCCTTCCCCAAATTGGAGAACTTGGAGGTGGGAGCGAGGGAGTAGTAATGACAAGCTTACCTTAAAAGTATACTCCGTCTGCTCTCCCCAAATCTTGCACCTTTCCCAAGCCCTGTGAGAAATGAGCGTTGAAAAATCAACACTAGAAGGAATCTCTCTGGGCCCCAAGCTGAGTTTGGGTGCTCGGGAGCCACACAAAGTGCACTTTGGTGGGCTGCGCGATTTCTTTCCTAGCAAGACTGGGTCTCAGCTGATCAGAATACGTAAGAGACTGGTGGTTGGAAGAAGAGAATGGTAAACAATCCCTAACACATGGGGTGGTGCTATCTGTGCGTGCAAAACGCGACAGAAGCTAGCCGCAGAGGAATTTCAGTTCTGGATCGCTTTCTCCACCGGGCCTGGAGAAAGGGTTTGCAGATGCAGTTTGCAGATGCAGCGGGAGCCCCGGCAGGGAGAAGACCTGCTAGAGCACGGCCATCCAGCCCCCGGCTGCCTGAATTTACTCCCGTAGCCTTTGTAAATGTATACAGGTTTTAACTTACTATTTTTACTAACCCAGATCAAAAGGAGAGGCAAGAAGAGCTAGTGCAGAGAAGAAAGAGAGTGGGAAAACGGAAGGGAAGGAAGCGAGGAGAGAGGGAGCCGCAGCGCGCGAGTAAGGTGCCGCTGGGTAACCCCAGGGGGCTCTGATGTCTACGCCCTCAATTAGGTTGTGGCTTCTTTCCAAATTAAGTTACAAATTAAGGCAGCCAATTAGTAGCCCCCATCTTGGTGCTAGTATTGGGCCCTTGCTCGCCCCTACTCTCCCGTCTATTTCTGTATTTCTTGTTAGGTTAATCTTTTAGCTAATAATAAACTTTTTTTTTCAATCCATGGGAAAGAAGTCCAGATCCTGACTGTTTGGAAATTCAGGGACCACCTGATGAGCCTCGAGTTCAAGGGCTCACCTCCTGTGTCAGGTCTTGAGTGAGGGAAAATAAACGTAAGGGATAGAAACTCTTCTGGCGATTGTCAAGTGCAAAAGGAAACCAAACAAAACAAAAACAAAAACAAACAAAAAACAACAAAAACAAAACAACAACAAAAAAGGGGGTGGGGATTCTAATCTAGAAAATGATATCCTGATACATAGAATTTTAAAATTTAGAATTAAATTGTTTATAAATATAATACAAGTAGCTATGTCAGGTAAGCGGAAATAGCAAGCTCTCTCCAAACACACACCCCCCCACACACACACACATATTACACTATATAGCATAAACAGACTCTAGTCTGAGAAAGCACAGCGGGAACCGACAAAGAAAATGCTCTTAAAAAAACTTTCAAGAACTGCCCAATTTTAAAATACACCAAAAAAAAAAAAATGAGGAGGAACCGACTGTGCTTTCCAACGCCCACCTCCCTTCTCCGTTAGCTTTGCTGTCTGGCTGGATACGGATTCCAGCATACCATTCGCAAGGTTCTTGTGTTCTTCCCTCTCCCCTCACCTCCACCCCTCTAAGTTCCTGAGGCAGACCAACTTTGATAATGCTCTCTGGATAACTTTCATTTGAAATAGAGCTAGGCTATTCTTGCTAGAGACCTGACAGTTTGATTCCGTTTTAATCATTTTCTTAACATAGCTCATATTCGGAAAAGATATTTTTCTCTCTTAAAGTGACAAGACGCAAGGGCTTCCGCGGTACACATGCCCCGCAACTCGTGTTTACACACGCGCAGGTGCACACGCGCGTATCCACGCACAGATGCACCTACAGACACGTGCACATACACACCACCAGTTCTTCTCCTGCCAGTTCGCACCCTGTCCCCGCTTCCTTTGCTTTCCTGACTCGTAAAGTACAAGGCCCTGGCTGGGCTCCGGCACGCGCATGTCACGCTTTTGATAAAGCGCGTTATTAGGGTGATGGCTTCGCCAGCACTCCGAAGGCCGAGACTCTGCCAGTACGCCAATCCCGCCTTCCTTCCCGCCCTCGCCGGGAGACGCTCGGGGCACCCCTCGCGGGATGAAAGGTCAGGGCTACGCTGAGGTCTGCGCCCTTCTTCTTTGCGGGGTCAGGAGCAGCTAGTCCCGCTGGGTCCTGAGTCTGAGCCGGATTCAACGCGAACCCAAGGTGGAGAGCGGCGGTGCGGCTCTCTCTCTGTGGTCACAAAGTCCAGCCTGGACCTGGACTAAAGAGACCAGCGCCTTGGCCCTGTCCTGGGCATCCTGGATCATTTCTAAGGGCCACGTTCTATTTGACATCCTGATGTCTGTAAGGCCCGGCTTTCCAGCTTGTCTATGTGGACACAAGTCCCAGTTGTCCGCCGTCCTGCGGTCTGCGCCCCTCGGTGTTCAGAGTAAAGGAGAAAGAAGTGGTGGAGGGATATAGGAAGCCTTGTGGGCTGTCTGACTGTCAAGAGCGCCTTGCAGGCCCCTGTCGTCCCTTCTAAATCAGTTTGAGCTCCGGGGCATAGTTCGACAAGAACCCGTCTACAAAGCAGGCTTCGCGTCTGGAAAACTGCGATCGTCCCTGGCGGCCTCGGGTTTCTCCGGAGGAACCTCTCCTTCTTCCCCTTCGGCAGGACCCGAAAAGGCCTGAAGGTCTCAGCAAGTCCACCCCTGGGCCTCAGCGCCTCCAAATCTCCAAGGCAGCTCGGAAGAACATCGGGTCTTTCCTTCCTGGGGTCACCGAGAGCCTGGGCCTGGAGCGGGGCTCTCGGTTCCCGCGAGTTGCGGGTGCTGGCTTCAGACGCCCTAGCCGCGCGGAGCTCCGCGCGCAGCCTCCTGCCACGTCTGCAGCCCTCCCTCCACCGTATCCCCCTCCCCATTCCCAGCCCAAGCCCTCTAGGCGGCCTCTTCGCTCTCCTAGGCTCGCTCCCGTCTTCGAGCAGGCTTCAGAAAACCGGCTTGCTCTTACTTTTAAGGTTACTCTACCCGCCTAAGGCCCCGCCGAGTTTGGAGGCCCTCCGGGGTCCGTTCAGCTCCAGACCTTTAGCCTAGCCTTCTTTCACAAATGGAAAACAACTCTTCCAGGTTGAGTTTCCCAAGCGTTTGAAAGAGGCCTTCTGTGCAGGTTGTTAGGGAGTTGTTTTTTTGACGCTGAGGCTCCCGGACCCGCCCGGCGGCGAGTACGTGGATGCCTCTGAGCACTGCCAGCTCAGGTTCCCGGTCTTCTGCTTGCCTACGAGGAGCCGCGAGATCCCCCGGAGCTGCAGTAGAAAGATCGCAGTGTGAAGCTATTGTCTGAATCACTGTACTGAAAGCTTAGAGAGAATTCAGAGATAATGGGGCAGCCCAAAAGTGTGGAGGCCGAACTGAGCGAGGGAGAGAAATAAAGCAATCCTTTGTCGTGAATTTTATACCAAAGACTTAAGACTAATAAGTATCATGAATTTTATTCTAAAAGAGACTACATACACCACATCCATTTTTTTTGGATTCCTGAAAAAAAGTTGAGTTGAAACTACAAAACAAACTATACAGATAGATGTTTAGTGTTATTCAATGAAAAGGCATTAAAATGGTTTTAAAGAAACATGTTGGCTCTTTAAAAGCGTGAGAACAGAAGTAGGAAATTGTCAAAAACAGGACAAATATAAAGTTACGCTGAATCACAGAGACATTTTTAAAAACTGCAGTGGAAATTTTATTGTATCTTAAAACTTATTTCACTTTGCGAAGTTTTTAGGGGTCTTAAAGCTAAGTTCTTATCATTCAAGACCTGAAAATTAAAATCCCAGTTTTAAATTAACTATCATGGTTTGAAAGAAATGGGAGGCTCGGGAAAGAGCGTACTTTTCCTGACTAGCTCGTATTAAGGACTGAACAATAATGTAGAAATTGTGCTCTCCTAAATATAAAGGATTTAAATATATCTCGAATTCCCTCTCCCTCCCCCAGAAAAATCCACAGGGTAAAACTTAAATAAATAAGTCTAGTGCCACGCCCGGCACAGAGTGGGCGCTACTAAATGCAGGAATGTGTAAATGAGAAAAGCCGGGCCTGGTGGCTGTGAATTCTCCCTATGCCTCAAAATGTTCTGAGTTGTAGCGATATTAAGTGATAAGGAAATTTAAAGTTTCTTGAAAGATTCTTGATATTCTAACGTGATGATCATTTAAGCTTAAAGCCAGGAGCCTCAGCCTTTCCAGGTCCCAGTGAGGAAAGCTGGAGACTCCCGGGCTGGACTGGGCTGTGGGAGGCAGGGAGACTGACCGGGTTCATCGCGGGGGCTGGCACTTCCAAGCCAGACGGCGGCGCTTTCCACTCTAGGTTTTTTTGCGACCTTGTAAGGAAGTGGGCGCGGGCTGAGCGGAGTCGGCGCCTCCTGATTGGCCGACCGTCTCGGTGATGGACAGGGCCCCAGACTCCGCCCCGGCCCCTTTATTGACACTAATGAGCAAGTTCTTCCCACCGCTCTCCTGCCTGGAAGTGCTGACAGATCAAGGCAACAAATTTCAATTACAATCCCTAATTTGTGTCCGCAGAGTGTTTTTTACCCATGTTAGTCCTCTCTGGCGCATCAGTCGAGGCAGATCTTGGAGCAGCAGGAGGAGGTGGAGGGGGTGGGAGCGAAGAAGTCCATCAGTGAGAGCGCGCGCGAGAGACCGAGGGAAGGAAACTTGGCGGGCGCGTCGCTGGTTCCTCGGATCCCAACACAAGCTCGAGAGAGGAAACGCCAAATTTGTTTTTGCTCGCGGCGGGGAAGGGGGCAGATCTCGGCCTAAGGGAGGCACCGAGAGTCGTTCATATTTTGGTGGGACAAGGAGAGCGAGTGTGTGCGTGTGCCCGCTTGTGTGTATATGAGCGAGGAGCGGGCATCGGGCGGCGGGGATGGCCGAGAAGCGGAGGGGCTCGCCGTGCAGCATGCTAAGCCTTAAGGCGCACGCCTTTTCCGTGGAGGCACTGATCGGCGCGAGAAGCAGCAACAGCTTCAGAAGAAGCGGCGAAAGCTGGGCGCGGAAGAGGTGGCGGGGGCCTTAGATGACGGAGGCTGCAGCCGCGGCGGCGGCGCTGGCGAAAAGGGCTCCTCTTCGGGAGACCAAGGCACTGCGCTCCCGCCACCGGCTGGGACGGCATCCGGGCCCACCCGGAGCTGCGCAGACCTGGAGCGGAGCTGCGGCTCCCGGGGAGCCGCGGGTGAGTCGGCCCCTTCCCGCCTATCTACTTCCCGGCGCGTCCCCTCCGTGTCCTGCCGGCCTGCACCGCCGCGGGGAACCTGAACTTAGGCAAATTGTGGGCGTGCGCGCTCGCGCGGTGCCCCTACGTGCCCGAGACAACTCAGCCACAAGCCGGCTTGCCGTGAGTGTCAGGGCGCAAAGCTCGCCGCTGCCCCAGCCGCTCTCGCCACGCAACTCGGCTCACCCTCCAGACGGTTAAAATGCCGCTTCCAGCCTCGCTCCTCAGGCTGCAGCCGCCCACTCGGCGACCCGCGCCCTCAGCAGCTGCAGTTTGTGGCGCTGGGCGGTGCAAGATCTGTGCTTTCCGCATCTGCCTCTCCTGGAGTTCCAGCCCAAGGGCGCTCTTTTTCCTTTCCTAACTTTTAAAAGCACGGAAGTGGGGGGAGCGACGGCATACCCCCCTCCTTGAAACTGAAACGAATGCCTAAACCGTTTGGGCACCAGGAAGAGGGCGGCGTATTTGCAAACGTGGTTTCCCGAGGGGTAACTGAGCGGTTCCCTACCCTTCCCCTCTTGATTCCCATTGCCAAGGCCGACGGCGATCGTGGGCCTATGTTTCTCGCTCTTCTCTATCCTTCGCTGCTTTGCTAAGAAGCTCTGGGCTACTGGGGAGTTTGGCGGGAGCGCAATGCGAAGAGCATTCTAGAGGATGCCTCCAGCCGGGCCCAAAGCAAGGCTCCTCGGACGCCAATTGCGAAGGGGGGCCCAGGCGCTTGGGACCAGGGGCCTGGGCTCCAGGCGCTTTTGCTCCGTGCTCTCCGTGGCGCAGGGTGTGTCGGAACCTGCGCTGGGGATCTGGATTTGGGAACCCAGTGTTTGCTCCTTTGGGCTAGCATCCCAGACTCCGGCTGTGGCACAAAACTTATTCTGGGGCCTTGACTGGGCGGAAGCGGGGAGGGTTGGGTGGACGTGGCCCATGCACCTCTGCGGGAATTGGAACTTGAGGGGAAGAGGGAGCATCAAGCGTCTGGCCCTTCGGCTGGCGGAGTGGGTGTTTACCCACGGGCCTGTTTCCTATAAGGACCCGATGGCAAGAAAGCTTCTTCTTTCCTCCTGGTCCTTTTCCTCTCCTTTGCCGCCCGCGGAGGGGAATCCGTCTCCCCACCCGCTTCCCATCTCGAGCCCTCACCGGTTTATCTTCCTCTGCCCTTTGCTGCCCAGGCGGCTGTGAGGACGGCTTCCTGCAGGGAGCTTCCCCGCTGGCGTCCCCGGGAGGCTCCCCGAAGGGATCCCCGGCGCCCGCCCTGGCCCGGTCCGGGACCCCGCTGCCCTCGCCGCAGGCCCCGCGGGTGGATCTGCAGGGAGCTGAGCTCTGGAAGCGCTTTCACGAGATTGGCACAGAGATGATCATCACCAAGGCGGGCAGGTAAAGGGCAAGCTGGCGCGAACGACCCGGCTCTGGCCTCACCCCACCCCTTGGTGGGTTAGAAAGAAGAGCCTACAGCGCAGTGGGGTCTCTGGTTAGCTGTTTCTATTGACAGAACAAGGCCGGGGTAACAGTTCACTTGTGAGGCTTGCTTTGTCTTCCTAGCCCGGAGTGCAGTCAGGGAGGGACACAGCCCGGCTGTCCTCTCGTCGGATGCTGGGGAGAAAATGAATGTCGCCGCGGAGGCCGTCCTGGTTATTTTCGGTGTTCTTCGTGCAGGGTAGTTATAGATTCTTGATCACACTTTACGGCCGTTCAGGCATTTATCCAGGCTTTAGTTATTTTTCTGGAGCTGTGGAACAGATTAGCCACCCTTCCCCCCCTTTTTGTAAACGCAATTTACTCTTTAGCAAACTATCATTTTCTTTTTTTAGATTCGAAACTTCCAGTTGGTTCTTTATCAAAAGATTTGCTGGCAGTGTGAGAACGTGATGTGTTATGCTACTTTGATATTAGACTAGGATGAAAATTACTGGAATCACCTGTAATACATGCTTAATCTCTGCGAAAATGATTGCCCTGATTTTAAAAAACCGTTCTGTCAGGAGATCCACAGTTACGTGGTTACATTTTTTTTCTAAATGAATTCCAACAAAGTAACCTAAATTTGCTGAAGAATACTTAAAAAATGTACGTTGTATCTGCTTTTTGAAAGTGTGAAATTTGCACATCCATCAGCTAATAAAATAAAGTGATTTGTTGCACAAATCCTGTTAATTTGGGGGAGACACAGAAATATTTGGGTTTTAAAGTTTTCAGTTCTTTTAGTGAAGTGAAATCTATGAATAATATCCTCCTTAAAAGAAACTTTAAAAAGCACACACAACTCTTTGAGGGAGTACACATGGCAAAAACCTGGATAGCATAAAAGTATCCAAACTTATTAGAAATTACAAAAACATATTTTATTAAACCCATATGCTACCTTCTACATTTTCACAGAGCTTTTATTAATGATCCAAATTCAGTCTTCAACAACACAAAGCAACAGTTGTCTTATAAAGGATGTAGTTAAAGACCTTTACTCTTTATCTTACAGGTGCACTGAAATAACACTGAAACAGCTAGCGTATTAAACTGTTCTCATGGCTAGTTAGGAATAATGGACTTTCTTTTCTCTGGAAGTGGTCTTTAATGGCATTATTGTAGGAAACATTTCTGGTAAATAACAGTACTAAAATTTGTGTTATAAGGTTAAATTAGCAGAAATTAGATTAACTGGAAAGGTCCTAGGCATAAATCATTAGACGAAAGTTTAAAAAAAGAACTGCTCTATTTTTTAAATATATACAATAATTTGCTGTTGTATTTCTTGCTACTGTGCCCTTTTAAAAAGATAGGTGCATTTACTTTAGCATCTCCTTTGATATGCATCTCTGGGAAGCCAAGAGAAATGTGAATTTTCATTTGTTTTCATTAGCAAAGTTTTCGAGTTAGCATGGTTAAATAAGAAAGTATTTTCAGGGTATGGTGGGGGAAGGAATGATTTGGTAAATATACATTGTGTTTAGTTTCTGCTTTCAATAAAGAAGTTTTACTATACCTTTCAAATTTAGAGCAACTTTTGCACTTCACCTTTACCATGCTGCAGACAGGAAGTCCTGTCTCAATAAAGAACATATTGTTTGGTTATGGCATGGCACATTGGCTCCTTGTGGTTTTTTATAACCCTTTTAAAATTTCACATTATAATATATTTTATCACTTTTAGAAATTCAAATTTTCTATTTCTACCATTTGAAACACTTTACTGTTTGTAGTATTAAAGTCAATATGCTTACTGATTTTTGTTTAAAAAATTAAGTGCTTTCTGTGCCATTATTTCTTCAGTGTACAATTTTTTTCTTTTTTCTTTTAGCTATACTGACATTTCAGTAAACTTGAAATGCAAGTATAGGGTACAACAAATTAAATTTACGTAGCTCAGTTCTGATATGTCCTGTATTCTGATTCTTTGAAATACATTACCAAAGTGAACGCTATAAATTTGTCCATATGAAAAACACAGATTTGAGGGTTTTCTCTGCTTATTCATTCTCCAAGCATAATCATAAACAAACACAAAACCCAAACCCTCTCTCCTCCCCTCCCTTATACCTAGGCGCATGTTTCCAGCAATGAGAGTGAAGATTTCTGGATTAGATCCTCACCAACAATATTACATTGCCATGGATATTGTGCCAGTGGACAACAAAAGATACAGGTACAATGATCGGATGGGTACAGAAAGATAAGAAAACACTGGAGGTTTACAGGCTATGCCTGTTTGATCTGTGATGACTCTGATATTTGTTTCCTGAAGCCTGTAGAATTCACACATCCATAATCCAACCCCGGTCAGTTTCAGTAGCCCAGACAGTGCCTTCTCTTGCAATAAATGTGAAAACTTATTTTTTATTTTGCTTTTAATAGATACAGAAATGTCTTTAAGTGCTGAGGAATTTTAATAAGTGGCCAACTTAGTGTTGCTAAACGAAATGTGTCTTTTATATTGATTCACACTTCGATTAGGATTTTGAGATGAAATATTAAATAATGCTTGTAGATATAACATTTAACAAGTTGTTTCATTTTCTTCGTGATTTTTTCATCTTCAAATAAATTCCCTTTACTTGTTTACGTACAGAATCATAACTGTTTGCAGCCTTTTTTCCTTTAATTTGAGAAAATTATTGAAGATTTTTTTAGACTTAAAAAAAACAAAGTCTCATAATTCATTATGATATAAAGACATCTTCAAAGGGGTAATAAATTTGTTACCTGGTTTTTTGGTTGGTAGTTAACAGTAATTTTTTGAAAACTTTGTAATGTTTGGATTTTGAGAGACTATATTTATCTGGATATCAAGTAAAGTTTGAAAAGATACATTCTTTAGTATAAAACCAATGTTTGATTTTCTTCCTGCAAGCGATCAAATTGACAATTCTTTTTATTTTCCTGAGGAGTTAAAAATGCTAATATTCAAAAAAAGGACATTTTGAGGGGAGGATCAGACAATGCTGCTTTAAATTTTGGTCTTCTTTCTTTCTGTTTTGTTTTGTTTTTTAAATAAACAGCTAAGGCATTTAGTAAGTTTTAAATGAAATCAGATTTGGTTTTTATCACTTTTTAAAATTTAGGGAGTTGCTTTTTTGAAAAAGGTTTATGGTGTCAAACGTATACAGATTTAATTAGTACAGGAACACAAAAAGGTAATAAAAGGACAGTTTTATTATTTGTGTTCTGTGCATCACTTATTTTAATTAAATAACTCATTAAGGAGTTTTGCTAAAATTATCTACTACATGACAGAAGGTAGAAAGCATTGAAATTTATTCTTTAAATATACTTGGTTTAAAATCCATATTCTAATGTGAGTTTTGTGCTGAGGAAGATAATGTAATTCTAATGAGCTTAGAAATTATTCTTTTCTTTTCTAAATTGCTTCCATATATTTTGGATGATTTATTTTACTTAACTGATTCTTATTAATCTCACATAAAGCAAGAAAAATTTCAAGTATTAGTATGAAGATGCCAGATTTTAAAAGATCAAATTTTAAAACATAAATTTGCTTTCACTTATATTGCTTCTCAAGAAAAATTTTGTTTTTAGCGTTTGTATTTAGAATATTTCACAAAGTGTATGTAACATGTAGCATTTATTCTGTTAATGGATGTGTGTAGATTTTTGAACTATTCAATATGCATACTTTCCCAAGGTTTTGACAGCATATTACTCTATTTATTTTGGTGATAACTCTGTATCTATAGTGCCACTTTTTTTTGCATTTCTAAGATTGCATTTTATTTTCCAACTATGAGTGATATTTCGGTCAAATGAAAAGTGATTGTGATTCATTAGAATGTACGATTAATGTTCACAAAAGCTGCACTTAGGAGCTTGTTTTTTGAATTATACTGTATAGATTAAAAGAAGTTGTTTTATTATTATTCTCAACTTTGTGACTATGTATTTTTTCCCAAGAAAAGGAATTAAAGAATAGAAGGCATATTTGAACTCAAAAGGAGATGAAATATGTGACCATAGTTGAAACCGTGGGCCTCACCAGAGATACTATGAAAATGTTTCATGCTATTTTAAAAAGGACTTTGCCTATTATATTGGTAGAATTCTCTGAGACTGTTCATAAATTGTTGCTTTAAATTGTACGGCATATTTTAAAACAAATGAAAGAAAAACATTCAAGTATATGATTTCGTTTTCTACCCTTTTCTAATTCAATCAACAATACACTAGTTTCTAGGTTTTGAATTAGTGTATTTTAAATTAACATTAATAAGTAATAATCTGAATATAAGATGAAACATTATGGTCTTATATATTACTTGAAACATTGTTACTTAAGTGTATTATTCTTACAGAGTCAATATATTTACATACATAAACAAATAGAATAGGATGTTTTGTCTCTTATTTAGAAAATTAATATTAATTAGATAGACCATATTTTTTAAAGTTTGGTATGTATTTTAATTAGTGGTATTAAAAAATTTTAAGAAAATTCTTACAACTGTCAAGAAAGAGAAATATAAGAGGTAAAGGGCTATATTTTATGATTATACAATCTTTTAAAATTAAACTGAATATCCTGTTTATAGTGTAATAGGGTTAGAAAAAATAATTCTAAATGATAATAGAGGAAACTTTTTTCCTATGAAAATAAACGTGCTGAAACTTCTGACAGCTTCCCCTTGCCTTCCTACCGTCTGTCCTGTTAGTCTGTACATAAGCCTAAAATTGGAAGTGATACAGGAAGTGGGACACTTATATCTCTCAAGTGTTTCTGAGATTTACTTAAAGGTGGGCTTGACAACTTAGTGGTTTCTTCATGTCAATTGAGTATCCAGATGAAAAATGGAAAATATCAAAATATAGACAGAATGTCTAACATGAATTAGTGTGATTCAGAAGAATTAAAATACTTGCATTTATTGTGGGAGTAATGTGCATATTTTTCACTCAATCCTTAACACACCACTTGGAGCAGTCAGTAGACCATCACTACCTCAGAGAGTTTTTTCAAAGTGTTTGAAATCTTATTTTATATGCATTGAATGTAAAGAGTAAATCGTTGTATTTTAGACTTAAAAAAGGGTGCACGTTATTTCTCAGTCTACTCAGTTGGAAATTTCAAGAAAGCAGTAGTCCACAAACTGAGCCTTGTCATTGCCTTGTAGGTATGTTTACCACAGCTCTAAATGGATGGTGGCAGGTAACGCGGACTCCCCTGTGCCACCCCGGGTGTACATTCATCCAGACTCGCCTGCCTCGGGGGAGACATGGATGAGACAAGTGATCAGTTTTGACAAGCTGAAACTTACCAACAACGAGTTGGACGACCAAGGCCATGTGAGTAGATGGCCTCCCCAAATCACTGCCATTGGACGGTGGGGCCATGCCTATACTGTGCCTGCCTGAAGGAAATGAACTTTTCTTAGACTGTGATTTCCTCTCCTGGTTGATCAGCCTGTGCATGCATAATCTGTGCAAGATCAAGGCTGCATTTGCATCAGCGACTGCCTGTGGCCAGAGTATTCTATGAAGCATTCATAGGTAAAACTAGATACTGCATTTGTAGTGGAGTGCAAGAACCTCAGACAGACATTTTTAACCAAAAATTTTGTTTGAAATCCCATGAGGTGCTAATTATTACACCCGGAACATGAATTCTTGGCAAATGGGTGAACAGGGATAATGACATTGTGTCCTGCCCGCATCCAGGTCTTTTCCCAGCCGAGGTTCATTGCTTCTCAATAGTGACCTGGCTTATGTTGTTTGTGTCCATCCTCAAGCTCCCAATTGTTTCGTAATGACATCTAGTGTGTCAACATATGTTATAATGATAATTTCTTTTAATCTTAAAACTGTTGAAATATGAGATATATGTTAAAGTCAGTCATTTCAATAATACAGTCCTTTTAACACCTTATTAATTTTTATGCAAGTTCCTAGGCAAGATTTTGATGTTATTATTTTAATAAATAAGGAACGCTGAATACATGCTGATTTCTACTCAAAGCTAGCGTTTCCAGTAGATTTCTGTTACTTGAGAGAGTTTTGACTGAGGCAGGACTGAAATGCCTTTTGAAGAGTATATTATACATAAAGGGAATACCAACTAGTTCATTTCTCAAAGGTTGCATATTTATGGGCGAATCTTTTAAAACAAACATGCAAACAATTGTCACAAGCTAGTAAGTAAAACAGTGTGGACACGGTGTGATTTGAAAGTTGCTAGACAATATCTTAAGCAATTAATGAAGACATTCAAGTACAAACTGTGTTGTGGTACAAATGCAGTATCTGGATTTTTTTGACTCATCTCACTCAAACTGCCAGTGCTTTTGTTTATTTGTTGCCTTATTTGATTGCTTTTGTTTATTTGGTGCTTTATTTCATTTAAAACAAAATCGGAAAAGTAACAGTACATTTCATTTTTGAATCCAACTTCATGCCCTATATTTTAGTATATTACTTTGCTTTCTCTTCTTTTTTTCTTCATATACACAATCAAATTATAACAATTAGCTTTCACTTGACATCAGTGAAAGAATGCTAGTTTTTTCTGTCTCATTGAGGGAGCTGACTGTGAAATTTTGCCAGTGTGCCCATTGAAGTCTTTATTTTTTTTAGAATAAAAAACTAAAAATAAATGGCACAAAGTGTTACTGGTTTTCAAAAGCTTAAATATACTCTACTCATAGTTTGAGAATGTATCTTATAAAGAGATAATTGGGCCTAAAAACTATACACTGTCATATATAAGGTACAAACTCCTTTAAGTAACTTAAATAAATACAGTCATTTTCTAATTCTGATTCTTTCAGTTCATGTTACTGGCTTTGTATCTAATATCTAACATTTCTACAATATTAGGTATGGATCTAGTAAATGATCAATCTGCATGACTTTTTAAATTCATAATTTCACTAGAATTCATTTAAAACAATGTTTTCTAGAGAAAGAGAAGCAATAGAATGTATATTATATGTATATAACATATATTATATGTATATATATTATATGTATATAATATATATTATATGTATATATAGTATATGTATATAATATATATGGAGAGAAAGAGAGAGTGATTTATTTTAAAGAATTGGCTTGCACAGTTGTGGGGGCTGGTGGGTCCGAAATCTGCAGGACAGGTTGGCAGATTGAAGACCCAGGGAAGAGCTGATGTTGCAGCTTGAGTCTGAAGGCAGTCTGGAAGCAGAATTTCCTCTTCCTCAGGGAATCTCAGTCTTTATCTCTTAAGTCTTTCAACTGATTGGACAAGTCCCACTCATGTTACAGAGGATACTCAAAGTCTACTGACTTCAATGTTAATCTCAACTGAAAAATACCTACACAGCAACTTCAAAACTGGTGTTTGGCCAAGTATCTGGGTACCATGGCCTAGCCAAGTTGACACATAAAATTAACTATTATGTAGCAGTTGTTTAAAACACAAAAGAATAGATTGCAAATTGAAACACAATTGTTTATACCTATGTAATTATAATCTTTCACTATGAGGAAATACAAAAACAAAACGTAACAGAAAACAGGCAAAGTTTATAGAAATGTGTCATCTTCTGGTAAAATTTTTCTTTTAAGGTTGTGGCAGGATGTAATACTTTAATGAAGGAAAGTGATTAATGTGTGTGGGGAACAGGGGGAGAAAGATATGTACCTGTGCATTATGGAAGCAAGGAAATTGCCATTGCAAATGGTAAAAATGTAGGTATTGCTTGATAACTAGAAAAGAATGCAGGAGGGAAAAATGCTCTTTTCCATTATTTATTTAAACAAAGTTTTGAAGACTTTGTAAAATGCAGTATGAGATGAAAAGCCATGGGCTCTGCCTTCAGTGATCTTGCAGCCTAGATGCAGAGAGAAGACACACACACAGATGACCATGCAGTCAGCACAGAGCAGTGCAGCTGCCCTGCTGTTCCAGCCAGGAGAGGCTGGGAGGGCTTGTGAAAGTGTCTGTTGTGTTTATTTGCTCACTTTGATGACCCCAAATGAGGTTAGATTCTAGATGAGGGATTCGTTTCTTATTTTATTATTGATGGGATTCAGGGTCTAAGAAGACAGCAGGACAGCAGGACTGTTGTGCCGGGACTGACTCAGCAGTCAGTTTCCTGGCGCGGAGACCTCTCTGGGTCTCTTGCCTTCTGCCTTCATACGGTTGAGCCCCACTCCCTGCCCCTCATGCCAAATCTAAAGGAAGGACGCTAATCCCTAACTCATCAAGCTGTAGACTCAAACGAGAGGTAATTTTCTAATTTGCTTTCTAAATTATTCTTATTTTTTGTCCTCTCAGTTCCCAATTTCACTCTGCTAAAGATGTACAAGTGTTCAACATAGCGACTTGAGAACTCCATGTGGACCTGGGGCTTTTATTAAATGCAGAGAGACTGCAGGAATCAAATTGTCACAGGGTTGTGAGTAGACCTAGGATTGCATCAGACATGAGATTCTGTGCCATTGTGATTTCCCCCAAAGTGATTTTTCATCTTTCCAAATACCAGGGATTGTTTAGAGAAGAATATTGGTGAGAATCTAGAAACAGAGAAATGTCCCACCACTCACAGCTGATCTTGAATGTTTCAAAGACTTTATAATCCCTACTTTCTCTTTGGGGAACCCATAGCCAGCTTTATCTTGGATTGTATGCAGACCAAGACTGGTCCTTGGGCTGCCTCTGTGTGGATGATCACCATGTTTGGGTGGGGTATTTCCTTGTCATCATTGCATATTTCACTTAGAATTTGCTGTCTGGAGGGAAGCATTTGGATGAACATTTCCTTGCAGAATTAAAAGACATTTCACAGGCAATGATGCATCGTAGATTTCAGCAGGACTCATACTTGCACTGCTGGGATGCTTTGGAAGGATGCATGAGCAGGCAGCCACTGCCAGGGGACCTGTGGGAGGGCCTGTTCTTCCAGCTGCTGAGGATTCAGTGATGTAGAGTCCCCCAGGCTCTGAGTTTGTCCTCATCCTTTTCCCATTTCTTCTTGAGAATCAAGTTGGGAAGCAAGGGGTCA